ACCTGATCCCTTCGATAACTCGTGGTCATACAGGCTGGTGTGCTTCTTCCATGTGGGCTTTGTTGCTTCTGAACTAGATGGCCGCTTGTTTATCTTCAAGACTTTAAGACCCCAGACACTATATCTTTTGATAGCCGGGCAGCATCAGCTTTCTTCACCACATTTGCTTATGCACACATTTGTCTTCGGTGATCGTATTGGGAAGGTGGGCACCCACTGATTTGGTTTTTAGTTCTTTGATGTCTGATAACTGGTCCCTTCTACACCTCATGGTCAGACAGGCTGGTGTGCTTCTTCCATGTGGGCTTTGATGCTTCTGAGCTAGATGGCTGCTTGTTTATCTTCAAGCCTTTAAGACCCCAGATGTTATATCTTTTGATAGCCGGGCACCATCAACTTTCTTCACCACATTTGCTTATGCACACATTTTTCTTTAGCAGTCGTGTTGGGAAGGTGTGCATCATGGAATGGCAATTTAATAGAACATGTTCTTGCATTGAGTAAGTACTTGAGTGGAGGCCCAAAGTCCATCTGCTGCCTTAATACTAAACCTATAAATACATGCACGTAGATCTATTTCCCCACCCTCCTATATAAACATATTTACATATGTACATGCCAGTATTTAGACCTCTATAAATACCTTTGTCACCTAGTTCTTTCCTCTGTTTCCTTTTATTTTCCTCTTGTCCCACTATCATGCCCAGCCTTCATTTGGGTTTCAGTAATTTCTCTCGATTACATTGCCCTTGATGAATCCCCACCAGGCTTCTCACACCCTCCTTGCCACTGATTTTGGATCACTTGTTGCTCCCCTTATTATTTGGTTTTAAGGAAACTTTAAGGCAGAGGTTCTCAACCTTCTTAATGCCACAACCCTTTAATACAGTTCCTCCTGTTGTGGTGACACCCCCCTCCCCAACCATCAAATTATTTCTGTTGCTACTTCATAACTATAATTTTACTACTGTTATGAATCAGGTGACCCCTGGGAAAGTGTCATTCAGCCCCCAAAGGGGTCACAACCCACAGGTTGAGAACCACTGCTGTAAGGGGTTAAGGTTCCAGCTAGTCTGTATTTGCCTGGAACAACATAGTACGAAGGAGTCAGCGGAATAAGAGGAGGATATGAAGGGTTTGGCTAATTGCCTTCATAAATAACTCTTCCCCTCTGCCATGAGACCAGAGGAACTGAATATTGCCTGGCTGCCATTACTGAATATTTTGATCAAAAGTCTATAGAAGAATCTAATTAAAAGGAAGGAAATGCACAACAGAATTTCAAATATTCATAGGATACAGACTTTCTGGAGCCAGGTAAGGTGGATGAACTTCCACATAACTGATGTCTTTATAGTCATCATACTCACATACACACACTCCGCATGGGAGTGATCAGTAGAGACCAGGGAACTAAGAAAGGCTTCTTAGTGCTCATGGCAATTTTCTTGAGAGTGTGATTGGTAAAGACTAAGTAATGCCCCAATCCTTGAATGTTATTTTATGTAAATAGCTAACTAATTTTCCTGGAATAGAGATAATACTTGTGCCTTGAGAAAGAAAAAGAACACTTACTATTAAAACTTACTAGTAAAATTTTTAAATTCCCAGAATCTCATGGATAGTCTAGTTATTTCATTTTAACTTTCTATACAGTTTGGGCATTTTGACCAGGAGATGGGAGGCATAACTGAGAAAGATTTTTTTTCCTCTGAAAAATAGTTCAAATGAAAAAGCTAAAGGCTTCTTTTATCTGAAAAGTGTCCTTACCTATATCAGCTTTTGATAAATGAAATGCTTTTACATGAAATAATGTTTGAACATTTGTGTATAAGTATGCATTCATTTTTCTGGGGCGCTGGCCCACACCTTTGATCAGATTCTCCAAAGATTTGTGATCTCAAAAAGTTTAATACAAGGCTTGGAAAATATGGTTATCCTCACAAAAATGTTAAGCATCTGAATGCATGCATAGAAGCTTTGGAATGTGTATTTTTAGGATTCATATGTGAATATTACAATCAAAGCTGACTTGTTAACTTTACACAATGAACACTGTTCATCTGTAGCACTTTGCTGTTAGCTGCCGTACAGTTGGTTCAGAGTCATGGCAACTACATGGAACTCAGAGCAGAGCTGCTCCAGAGGGCTCTCCAGACCGTGACCCTAGAGAGGCAGAGGGCCAGACATCTCTTCTGAAGGGTCTGGAGTGGGTTGGCATAACTAACCTAGGGGCTAACCATCAAACACTTAACTATGCTACTCAAGGACTTCCGCGAGCACTTACTAAGACCTAGATGTTGTGCTCCATTGTTTGTCTACGTGCTGACGAATGAATGAAGTAATGCTAGAGAGTTTTCATATTTCAGTATTTTTCATTTTATTGTTGAATTTTTAAAAACCCTGTAAAAGGTAAATAGGCTTTAGCCAATTTTTAGCCAAAAGTGGCAGCATATGATGTCTCAGTAATCTATAAAATTATTTTTTCTCAATGAGATCAGGGAGAACCATATCTTAATATTATTTAAGGTAAGTTTAGTTATTTTTTCATCAGAAAACAAGTCATTCATACTTGCTGTCTGTACTTTCTTTCCTAAGATAGCTTCTGTATCTTAAGATCAACTTAATCTCAGATCCTCTTCCTCACACTCCTCTTGGGAAAGCCCTCAGGATGCTCCCAGCCATCCGAGGAAACCTCACCCTTCATGTCCTCAAACCTCACGAACTCAGGCTCTACTTTGATGAAACTGTCCATTCTTTCAGCAGTGTTTTACCTCACTTGTAGAATAAACTGTACTGAAGGTTAAATGTCCACTCATGACTCAGGAAAAACTTAGATGTTCTTTGAAGCAATAGCATAAATGAGATAAAACATTGTAAAGGAAATGTTTACATTTCTTGAGACCAAGCGATTTGCAACTGCAGTGACAACTAGAATGTATTTCACTCAATCAAAACTATAGGACGGGTGTGTATATCTTCATTGTCATGAAGGTTTGTCTAATGTTGCAATGGAAAATTTTTTTAGTTTTTTTAAAAGCTATTACATTTTACTCATCTATTTCCCATATTAACTTCATATCATACATTATGATTGCTCTATTAATTAATAATGACCAATTATTCAAAATTATTTTTGTTTTCTTTTAATTGTATTTATCAAATTGATTATATGAAAGATCACTGATGATATCCATTGATTATGTTCCATTAAAAAAATCCTTACTATGAGCAGTCTTTGCTGAGTGAATCAGGGCATTAAAGTAGAATAAGGGGTTCAGGGGGAGTAGATACAATGGTTGTGGGGGGTAAAAGGGAGATGATGTCAAGGAGTCCAGGAAGAAAAAGAATATTTGGAAACTGGTAACAATTGTACAATTCTGCTGAATGGGGTTGAACTATAGCATGGTATGGTAATTGGGTCTATTAACACCCAATTAATAATAATAAAATAAAATGAATGAACAGTTTCTGGCTTGCAAGGATATTACAGTCTACTTTTGGGGATAAAAAATAAATAAATAAATGAAATCTCAAGTAAATCTAGGCATATACCATATAAGCCAGATTTTATAGGGTTTCATTCCAAGAGATGCTGGTTTGAGGAAAGAGTTGATGAAACTTCTTAAAGAAGGACTTGATGTAGCTTTTGAAAGATGATTGAACTATTGATAACTATGCAAAAAGGAATGAACGATAAAGAAGTGAGTCACATTGTAGTATGTCATTTTATCAAACAGTGTGGAGATGCCAGCTGAGAGTATGTTCCGGGGACAAGTGTCCTACCTTGATTCAAGCACACATACTGGAAATAAAGTCGGAGAGGCATGTTGAGACATGATGGGACTGGCTCTGACTTCTAAGACAGGGGGAACCATTAATTCCGGACTTGCTCTGAGCTACACTTTGGTAATGGTAATGCTGTAACAGAAAATTAGACTCTAAGCATGGTGGGAGTAATGTCCAGAACAAAAATGGGGCTGCACATGTGAGATTAACTCTGAACATAGAATTGGTAGAATTCTATAATTTACTGGACTTCCAGGTATAAATAAATTGAGATTTTGTTTTAATAAATAATTTTATTGGGGGCTCTTGCAATTCTTATAACAATGCATACACCAATTTTATCAAGCACATTTGTACATATGTATCATTTCCAAAACATTTTCCTTCCGTTTTAGCCCTTGGTATCAGCTTCTCTTTTCCCCCTCTCTCCCCTACTCTCCCACCCTTGTAAACCCTTGATAATTTATAAATTATTTTTATTTTCATATTTTACATCATCTGCTGTCTCCTTCCACCCATGTTTCTGTTGTTCATACCCCTGGTAGTGTTGGTGGGGGATGTTGTATGTCAACCAATGTGATCTGTTCCCCCTTCTCCTCTCACCTTCCCCCTACCCTCATGGTATCACTACTCTCATTATTAGTCCTGAGGGGTTTGTCTCTTCAGGAGTCTGTGTCCAGAGCTCTTATCCATACCAGTGCACATGCTCTGGTCTAGCTAGATTTGTAAGACAAAACTGGGGTCATGATGGGCAGGCGGGTGAGCATTAAAGAACTAGAGGAATGTCGTGGGGTTCGTCTGTGCTATACTACATCCTGGCTGGCTCTTCCCTTTCTGTGACCCTTCTGTGAGGGCATGATCTGTTGGGTTTGGGATCTCCATTCCGACCTTCCTTGTTGGTATCAAAATAGTTGTTTGTTCTGGGTCTTAGATGCCTGATCTCTGATCCCATGGACACCTTCTGATCACACAGGCTGTTGTGCTTCTTCCATGTGGGCTTTGTTGCTTCCCTGCTAGATGGCCACTTGCTTAACTTCAAGCCTTGAGATTTTGTTTATTTGACAAACATTTGTGAATGTCTTTCATATGCAAATGTAACGATCAGCTGGAATCTATACCTACAGACTTGGGAAAGAACTACTTATTTAGATGAGCAAAAAGAGTAAGAGGTATAAGGAATTAATGAGTAATTGCATTAGAAACAATCAGGGAAGTGTTACAGCTTTTTTAGAAGTTGTCTAGCAGGTTTTCGGGGGGGGGGTTTCTGGAACCCCCCCCCCCCCAAAAAAAAAGAAACAATCAGGGAATTTACCAGAGTGAGCACGGTCAGAGATGGAAGCAACAGGGAGTTTCCAGTCAGGGCAATTAACAAAATATGTATCATGTAATTTGCAGGAGGAAGAGAAAATTTCAAAATTAGTATTGCACTTAATATCAGCTGCTAATGAAGGTCAAAGGCTATGAAAGGTTGAGAACATTTTCATTTAATGGCTGATGATATAAAATTCTTCAGGAAAAGTGCAGACATAAATGAACATGATCTAGATTTCTATGCATTTTAGGTGGTGTCTAGGGATCACGCAGTAACATTTTGATAGGGTTGCCTCCAGGGATTTAATGTGCACAGATGAAAGTTGCCACGCCCACCCACCACTGTCTCACAACTGTTCCTTAGGAATTATCCAGAGTTGACAATAGCCAATAGAAGGTGAATTTTCTAGGCTAATGATGTCTTTAAATACAGAACATTATCATTGATAGCTCTTAGAAATTTAAAAGATAAGCCTGCGTATAAACTCGGTCAGAGATGCACGGGTCTTAAAAGTGCCTTTTCTGTTCTTTCCCAGCTGTCTGGTAAGGCCAGCATCTCACAGAGCTGGCTATCGCCGCCTGTTCTTGGTTTAGAAATATGAGCTACTGGGGTTTCAGGAATGAACACTCACACTTGCTATTTTCTGCAATGGGATCCAAATTCAATCTGAGTAATGGTCCAATATAGTTTTGACCTCTCATCGCCCTTCATTATGCCTTCCCATCAATATCAAGTCTGTGTGTTGTTGCTTAATATTCACTGGTAAAACTTGTACATGCCTTTGGTAGAATACCATGATGTTCAATTGACAAGCTCATCTCCTATCTGATGATGTAAATATAAAAATGAAGTGGCCTCTCTTTCTAGGTTTATTTTCCGTTTTGTTACTGCTTAGGTTGGGCGCTCACACATCCCCATCACTTGCTTTACTTCCTTTCTTTAAAAATAAGACACTGGTAGTCAGTTGACGCCGAGTCTGAAAGAAGCACAATTTCACATCTTCCTGTTGTTGCTGTGATGTAGTTGCAGTACCTGACATCTTGTTCAGTTAGCTAGACTGGAGTTTGAAAGTGTCTGGTTCAACATGTACTTCCTGCCTTCCTACCACTCTTGCTAGACACTTGATGCAAGCTACACGCTTTTCTGTAGGTCTGGAAATAAAACCTGTATCTTATTTTTGCCATTATTTTTATTCTCCCCAATGTTATTAACGTACTGGCTCCTTTGAGAAAAACAAGCAATTGAAACATCATTTTAATCTCTGAGTTTAGGAGAGCATGCAGCACTAGGATAGTCTCAGTTTCCTAAGATTGCCATAACAAAATGTGGAGTGGCTCCAAAGAACACAAATGTATTATTATTATTATTATTACTACAGTTCTGGAAGCTTCCATCCAAAATCAGGCTAACAACAGGACTGTATGCTCTGTAGGCCCTAAGAGTAAAACGTCTTTCTTGTTTCTTTCATCTTCTTTAGCCATTGGTGATGCTTCTTAGCATTCTTTGGTTCAGTGTGACCCTGGAGCTGGTGTTGCACAGCCACACCCCTTCTGTTGTCGCCTCTCCCCCATAATCCTCCTCCCATACCAGACCATACAGACTCCTCAGCCATGTTTCTGTACTAAGATTATTAAAACATTGTAATTCCATATATCACTGAGTGGCAGTGATAGATAGATAGATAGATAGATAGATAGATAGATAGATAGATAGATAGATAGATAGATAGATAAATTTTGATAAATCAAAATTAAAATGCCACCTTTAAATTACAATGCCACTAGCTGAGGAAACCATGTGATTGGAAGAGTCATCCACATTGGGTAATGATTAGGTCTGCCCAGAGAGCATTAGAAGGCTCAACAAGTTAATTATCATAGATTTTGAATCTTGTGGACCTATTTATACTTATAAAGCAGGCTTATTAAAAAAAAGTCTTTGCTTTAACTAACTACGAGGGGGGAAGGGACGCTAGTGACAGGATGGGTTAAGCATTGGCCTGCAAAGTGCAAGGTTGCAGTTCTAGCCTACCTGTCTCTTCGAGGGATAGACAGGCTACTCCCCGAAACGCTGTCTTGGAACCCCTAAGCAGCAGTTCTGCTTCATCCTACAGAGTGGCTCTGACCCCGTTGTCAATGGACCTGATCATACAGTACATGGCTGCTGAAGCACTGCACAAAAAATTATAGATAGTCATTTGGTGTCACCCCTTTGACAGTATTCAGTGTTACCCACACTCTCTGTGCCCCCTGTGACTTTGCTGGTTCGAGCTTGTAACCATCTTCACATAATGCTATCTCCCCCCTGCAAGGGCCTCTATTTCTCAGCATGTCTTTGTAATTTTTAAAAAATATAATGTCACACAAAGGAGATTAGGATTAGCACCCCCTCTGTTCCAGCATGCCCTCCTTTAATTTACTTCCTGCAAACCTATTTCTCCAAACTCAGTCACATTCACAGGTACAGGGGTTGAATATCATCATACTTTTTTTAAAGGCAGAAGCATAATTTAACCCATAGCAATAAGTTCTTTGATATTTTCTCCTGAACAGAAGTGATCGCAGGCACTGCAAAGGTGTTAGGAAAGGCTCTTGCAGACCCTTGAAGGACTAAACACGGCATACTGCTCCAGGGGGTGGGCTCCATCCCTTCCAACTGAGAATGCTCATTTCAAATGGTCTCTGATGTCAGTTTGCTACATTAACTATGATGAATGGATTTAATTTGTGTTAAGAGGTCTCAGGCATTCATTCAACAAATATCTATTTTACTGGTGAGTTCCATCAGAAAACCTGTCCTATAGTCTGAGCATTTTACAGTGAGCAGTCAGTGATGAGTGAGCACGTGTTGTGTTGTGTTATGTGAGGTAGCCCGGTGGCTTGGGCGTTGCAGTGGACACAGTGGGACAAGGTGTGCATGCAGCTCCATGTCTCAGAACTCACCTACAGAGACAAAGGAAGACACCTGAATGCAAAGCTGTAAACAAATGTCAGAATCCTACTTCGGGCCCCATTGAAATGTCTTGAAAGTTCTGAGTCTCTGGGGAGCTTTTTTGTTTGTTTTTTATTTGTTCTTTTTGCTGAGTCCAACACAAATCCTTGCTATTTGGATGTAAGCTCGTTTTATTTGACGTGTTCTCAGTGAGGTTGGATAATTTATTCTCGAAGCCATCAGCATTCTGTCATCATCCGCCCCATCTGAAGTATTGGGCAGGACTTAGAATGAAGTTCTAGATCATAATGACTTTGTAAAGCCGTAACCTGGTTGGAGCTGCCAGTTGTGTAGGTGCTAGCCCTATTTTCTCTAACGTCTTGATGGTTGTGTTGCCTCTTCTGTTTTTAGTACCAGAGACTCGGAATCAAAGAGCTCCTAAGGGTTAACCAGGTCCAACCGTAAAGCAATCTGTTCCATTGTACTACCTGAAGCTCCTTGAAAAGAAGTTTATCGTGTGTCTTGGAATGGTCTTTGACAAGCATCTTTAGTTCTATACTTCCAAAAAAAGAAAAGTGAGTCATAGTAGTACTACAGATAGTTGTGGATTTATGATGAGGCTCCAAGCACATGTTTCTGTTGTAAGTTGAATATAGAGTTCATCAAATACGTCTTATTTGTAAATTTTTATTCTTGAAACATGAAACCGTGGAGTCCATTCGAGTCCAGAGTGACCTTACAGGACAGAGACGAGCAGCTCCACCATGCTTCTGGAGCTGTCGGTCTTCACAGAAGCAGGTCACTTCGTCTGACTGCCATGAGGCAGGTGGTGCACTTGAACCACTGACCTTTTCATTAGCAGCTGTACCACCGAGGCGCCTTGTTTTATTTCTATCGTGATTCTCTTTTATCACAAGTGTCTTTATAAATAAGCACAATACCTGAGAAGGATCACATCAGCTGTTTACACACTGCAACACTGCATATAGTACATATCACTAAAGAGAAGATGTTGAAAAAGGTGTGGTGAGGGTGGGGGCACTTGTAAGTGTGGTGTGCCTCATGTCCTACCATAGACACAGGCTTTGACTGGAGCTGGGAAACACTCGATTGTGCTATAGGTTTCAAATGATCAGAACACCTACGTTCTCTTATAGTGTCACTGGATGGGGTACAGATGATGTAATATCCCGCATTTACTTGATCTGTTTTTTACCTCCATGCTCAAGGACTCACGCATTCAGAGTCTGTGTCAAGTAGTGCTTCTTATTCTTGAAAAATGATCCCCAAACCAAGAAACCTTATTAATAGCCAATCTTCTGGAAATTGGCTAACCTGGTGGCTTAAATTTTTCCTTTATTATGTCCGTGTTATCCCAATTTCAGTTCCAGCCCTGGTGGCGTAGTGGTTAGACATTGGGCTGTGAAACCGAAGGTCAGTCATTCGAAACCACCAGCCACTCAGTGGGAAAAAGATGGGGCTTTCTACTCCCGTAAAGAGTTACCGTCTCGGAACCCACAGGGGCAGGTCTACCCCATCAGATAGGGCTGGAAAGGACTCCGTGGCAGTGAATTGGAGTTTGGAATGCTTCAGGGTTTAAGTATTGGAATGCTAAATGCAAAGATAAAATCAACCAGCTACTCTCTGGGAGGAAAATGCGGCGGTCTGCTTCCTTTAAAGGACCTCCGAATCTCGAATCTCGAGGGGATGGCTTTGCTCTGCGTTTCAGGGTCCTTCCAAGGAGGGATCCACTGCGTGGTGAGCAGGTGGTTTCTTTGGCATGTCAATTTGTCCCTCTTTTCTGAGCTGCTGCTCAATTCTGAATCTCTTGTTTCAGCTCCACATTTGCTTCCACAGCTCTGGTTTCTTTGTCCTCAATTAATTTATCATTAAGAAAGCAAAAATAAGACCTATCTACTATTCCTTTCTGAATGTTTTTACCTTGCAGTACCTTTTGTGTGCATATGAAATACATATTCAGATTCACTCATACCGGTCAGTGACTATTATTCTAAGGACTTCTTTGCAGAAG